TCAAATTGCAGTTAGGATTTGTTTTCAATAATTTATGCCCATGGATATATTCTCTTACTTTTCAAGAAGCTAAAAAAACTCATTGAAACAGCTCATCTCTGTCTGGAGTGATGGTGCAGTGGTTGAGACCACTTGGTTATGAGAGATTCTGGGTTCAGTTCACAGCAGCCATTTCAGATGGCTCACATTGACTTTTGCCCCAGTTCCAGGGTATCAGAAGCCTCTTCTGGCCTCTGCAGGCACCTGCATGCTTATAGTGCACTTGTATACTTCCCACGCCCCACATATCACATGAAATAAATAATTAGTTAATTAACAGTGAACAGAGCAAGTCCAGGACAGCCTTCAAAGCAATACAGAGAAACCCTGTCTCAAAAAAACAAAAAGTAAAAAACAAACAAACAAAAAAGATGAAAACAGCCAGCCTAGAACTAAGAGAATTAATTGACCGTATATATCAAACACTCTTAATGCTTATAGCATTTATCTTAATATTTAATAGTTAATGTTTATTTTTCCAACAGATTACAAATAGGAGTCCAACTTTAATTTTAGAGGAATTAAAAACCCTAAAGTAAAAATCAGTGTCTGTCCTCAAACTTGTAAGTTTTTATCGACTCAGAATAAAAAGATACCTAACTTTTAGACTTATTTGAATGAAAAGCCAAAACTTGTCATCACCTGTGTATAGTTATTACTCTAATCTATCTCTAGATTTCTAAGTTTCCAAAATAAGCAAGTCAGGCTGTTGAGTTGCCCTCCCAGCAATTGTCAGCAGCTGTTGAGCAATAAAAGCCTCTGCTTCTCTCTTCCCCCTAAGCCAAAAAGGAAAGAAGAGTCCTCTTGTTAAATCCTGTAATTCACAGCTCAGAAACAAAGTCTGGTCTGGTCTGAACCTCCAGGGCTCAGCATTTCCTGTGTGCCGAGGCTCACTTATGATTGTCTCTGATGCTCCATTTCAGCTTTCCATGCCACACGCACCTCTCCCAGATATGTTTAGTCTATCTAGAAGTGCTCATATTTGCTTTCTTTTTCTTTTACATTAATTCAGGCACCAAACTGAATAGTATTTGATGAAAGTTAGCATGCCTCCCTTTACTTGTAATGGAAATTAGTAGTTAAAATTCTTAGTGTTAACATTTTTAAATTTAAATTGTACCTAAGGAGATTTACAAGAAATATCAGCACTAAAAAGCTATAGTTTGATGAGTTTTTACAAGCTTTCTAGTTTTTAGTGATTTTTAATTTTAGGAAATGATGGATGCTGTGTTCAGAAAAATGACAATAAATATGTATCTGGGAAGAATGTGGAAAGTGATTTAATCCTGCCATGATACCTTTGGCATCAGATCAAAGTTAAGACAGATGGTTCCCTCTATCCTCCCTATAAATTTAGCCTGGAAAAATAGAAGTAAATTGTGAACTGAGGTTTTCCTAACCCATCTGACTGCCCTTGCATTTGACCACCTTATGTTCAGTTTCTGCAGTTACCTGTTATGGACGTCTAAAGGCCTAGCTTGAGCCTTACTTTCCTTGATGGGCCTGGTGTGAAGGTACACAGATCAAAACTGTCAGCCTTTCAAATGCCAGTTCTATCTCTTCCTGTCTGTAGCATTGGTTCTGTGGATCTCAGGACATGCAAGCATGTGGGAGTGAATAGGACAGAGAGATAGTCTAAATAAAGGATGATTAGGATAATTTCTTTCCCCTTTTCTGGAAAGTGCTTCTTTATTGCCTATATAGTATATTGGATGCTGCTTGGGAAGCTAAATATATCATGTTTAATTGTGATACAGAGACTTGAATAGTTTTTAAAATATGTTAAGGAGAATGCTTTGAGGGCTAAGGAGATGGCTTATCAGGTAATATGGGCGCATACACACTTGTCAAGAAAGCGTATGTGGGGGCATTGTAAATGCTGGGTAGGTATAGTGGTCTGCCTGTAATGTCAGTAGGGGAAGCAGAGCCAGAATATCCCCTGAGCGAGCTTCTAGCTGGACTAACCAAGTCTGCAAGCTCTAGGTGCAAGTGAGAGACTGTGCCTCAATATACCTAAGGTGGAGAGTAATTAGGAAAGACACATCTACCTTGCCCTCCACCCCCAAATGCACACATGTCGTCCTGCTCATATACATAGGAACATATACATATATGTGTGTGTGTGTGTGAATAGAGTTATATTAAACTACACATAAAATTTTGGGGGATTGGTATTTTGTTTTGTTTTTCCAGACAGGTTTCTCTGTGTACTCTGACTGGCCTCGAACTCAGAGATCTGCCTGCCTCTGCCTCCCAGGTGCTGGGATTAAAGATGTGCACCACCACCACCTGGCATCACATACATCTTCTTTAAATGTTTTGTATTGGATATATATTACCATTAGAAAAAGTACATATGTTTATTTTTTATAAAAAGGAAAAATGTAAAAAATACAGCAATCAATTTTCAAGCATCTAAATGTAGGTTTAAATGTTTTTAAAACAAGAGTATAGTTAAAGATTAAGAGCTATTTCAAGACAACAGAATAGCAATTTAGTGTTTCTGATATTATAGTCTAAATTAATTTTTGTATATTGTCTGGCTTAGTGTATGTTATGGTACTTAGTTTTGTTCATAATTAAGAAATTGTTAAGGGACCAAAATTTTACTTAGATAAACATGAGTTAGAAATTAAATTGTATTGATTTCTGAGCTAAGAAATGATTTCTGTTTGTTTTTTGTTTTTTGTTTTTCCCAACAGGGTTTCTCTTTGTAGCTTTGGAGCCTATCCTGTAACTCGCTCTGTACACCAGGCTGGCCTCGAACTCAGAAATCCTCTACCTCCTGAGTACTGGGGTTAAAGGCGCGTGCCACCACCACCCTGCTAAGAAATGATTTCTAAAGATGCTCATATTTTGTTTTGGAGATTGGTTTTCATATGTTTAGAGATATTGCTATTGTTTCCCCCTTTCCAAATGCCTTAAATTATAAGCAGCCATTTGTACTCTTCAGTCATCTTCCATTTTAGTCAAAGGTGTGTGTTTGCTGCTAAAAGCTGCAAGTCTCTGTGAGCTCTCTTTTTCACCAAGTGAGCTTCCTTTGCTCTGCTACTCTCCTGTCTCACTTCTCTAAGACAGCTCACTGCCTTCTTACAGCTGTTTTCCTTGTGCACGCTTTATCTTCTGAACAGGCACTGTGTGTTAACAGGAGTTAACAGCAGCACAGAGAGGGTTGAGCAGACACTGCCAGTAACAAGAGTTAAAAGAGCAGCAGAACGAATTTAAATGATGCACATCCATGTCTGAATCTGCAGTGGCAATCTCTGATACTATATAATGTTTTCTAATTTTGTTGTCTGCGTCTGAAATGGAGCTGAAATGTTGTTGACCTTGTGTGGAATGTGTCTGAGGATTTGGGGATGGGGTGGGGGGTGCTAGATTTTCATGTGACTTATCTCTGACACACTGCAGCAGGACTGAAAACACTCATCTGCCCACATAAAGAGGGGGAAATTTTTTCCAAGATTGAGTTAGCAGAATTTGTGCAGTATTTTCAGATTTTTCTCCCTTGTGATTTTTCTATTTTTCAATTCACCTAATTTGATAAGGGATGGAGGTGGGGAGTAGCCTCTGCATAGTAAATACATTGAGGAATGGAAGGAAGATTACAATAGTGATTTGAATGGTAAGGGACTGTTTAAAATCTCCACGACATCTTGACCCACATTGCAACCCATCTGGTTAATAAGCTCCTTGGCCATCTCAAGTGTTTAAAAGTAACAGTGTACAAATAGCTTTATTCAAGTGCCTTTTTCTTCCACACAAATCTTAAGATCATTGTACCTACGTTTCCCAAACAGCTGATTTGGTGCTGCACTTCAAAAGATGAGACATACAAATAAGGCATGTAGTTTCTTATGTATTTGGCCTAATTTCCTGACTTTCCTTTATGACAGAGCTAAATGAAATCAAGCTTACTTTTAGGTTCTGTTAGATACTGAGTTATGTTAGCTATTTGAAACATGGTAATGACCTGGTAAGGTGAAGCTCTGCCGTACTAGACTAGAGGGCTTCTTAATGCTATCTTACCTTCTCCATATTGCCTTCTCCCCACCCCTGTGTACTGCTGAAGAATTCTGTGTCATTTTACCTCTCATTTTGTAGAAAATAAGAGCAGTACATTTGAGTGGTTTTAGTAAACATGGGAAGTTAAACTTGTTATAAGAAAAGAAATAACCTTATTTTGTAATTTAAATCTTGAGTCTTTTGAGATACATTCATATGAATCCAGCTCCGTTAAAAAAAAAAAAAGGAATTTGGAGTGATGTGATGTTTGGAAGGAGAACCTTGTGTGTTTGATTTGAGGGGAAGATGTAGCGCTGGCTCCTGTGGACTGTTTTTAAACATAATGTACATGATCTTGTATTCTGACCAATTGGGTTTCATGGATAGTCCCAAAAGACCTTTTTGGAGTAAATGTGATATTTCATACAGCATACTACCTGTATATTAACAATCTTTTACATTTTTCTATGTTGTTGCATTCTAAAATTGATGCACACTAGTGATTTAAGGGAAATTAACACAGGTTCTCTTTCTTAATATTGTTCAGTTTCTATCAGCCATTCTTATTTAATAGGACAGTGATAGAAGGGTTAAGCATACAGAGCTGATGCAACTCCTCCTTTTCTTCACCAGCAGTTTTCATTGGACAGTATCACCATAGCAACAGTGAGCTCAGAGAAACCTGAGTGTTCCATTGATTAGTTTCTGCTTCTTCCTTTTTTAATCTATCCTTTTCACCACATTTTAGTGAGGAAGCATTTTTTTTTAACAAATAGAGCTTATATTGATTTCTGTTCCATAAATAATTTAAAGAGGGTAGAAAATTCTGCCCTTTATTTAAAAATTGAATGTTTCAACATGTATTTAAAAAGCGATTCAGGCTTAGGAGGATGGATAGCCATACCAGCTGTAGCTGATGTTCTCAGATACTCTTGCATTGTTTGCTGGTCTTCCAGGGAAAAGAACAATGTGGAGCAGGACCTTAAAGAGAAGGAAGACACAGTTAAGCAGAGGACAAGTGAGGTTCAGGTGAGTGAACTGTACTGCTCCATTTCTGATGCAGGAATATTCATTGTAAATGAATTTTCTGTTTGGTGGGCATGATATTAGATCTGGGAAATATCTAATATTTGTGTAACATAAATGTCTTTTTAAAAATGATGATTGTTGCTCTGAATTCTGGCCTTTAAAGATTATACTGCAATGAGAAAGCAAATGTTTTTAAGCACATATTTATAGGTTTGAAAATATTTTAATGAAACTTACCTGCATGTTATTCATTAAAGATAACTTTAAATGACTTGATATAAATAATAGTACACCAATAAAATTAAATTGGATCAAAAAATAAATTGCTTTTTCATTCATGTAAGGTTTTGTCAGCTGGGAGACCTACTATTTTCAAAGACTGATTCTCGTGTCATTGGTAGGGTAGGACATGATAAAGAGCAATTTAAAATAACATCTTATGAACTGCTTTGTAGCAAATACCTGAAACTTTGTCATAGGAGATTTTAATTCATTTTTGCTGTGTTGTTTTATTTTATAAATATTTTATTTTATAGCTAGAGGAGATAATAAAACCTGTTTCTATTTGAGAAATGTGACAGAGTGTTTTAAACATTAAAAACAGTACTGAGCAGTGTTTAATGTGGCCATGTTTGTGCTGTACAGGGGGTTGGATGTGTGGGCACTGTAGCAGCTGCCAGCAGGAACTCGTGGATGGACATTTCCTAATGTTTTACTTATCTGTTAGATTTTCCTCCTTGTACTGATGGCTTTACATAGGTAGAAACTGGGGTTTCTTAGATCCATTATTTTGTTTTGATAGAGAGCCATGCTAGGGTGGGGAAGATGATTCACTAAAGGATTGAGGAATCCAGAGGCTTATGGTTGGCAGTTGACTCTGATTGGATGACTGCATTAATTAGATTTTTTGGAATTTTCCTAAAAGTGGTGTGGAAGTCAAAAGATTTTTGGTTTTTTGAGATGGTTTCTCTGTGTAGCTTTAGACCCTGTCCTGGAACTAGACCAGGCTTGCTTCAGACTCAGAGGTCCACCTGCCTCTGCCTCCTGAGTGCTGGGATTAAAGGTGTGAGCCACCACCACCCAGCTGAAAGTTAAGAGATTGCCAACATTTCTCTTTCTGCTATTGATATGGGGTGTGGGCTGGTAAGCTGCTTGAGTTTCATTGTTTTGTGTAATTTCAAGGTTCTTGGAAAATGCAAACACTAAACTTAATTTTAGTAGTTATTGCTAGACACAGCTTGGGAACAGGATAAAATCTACAGATTTTTTTTTCTTTCGATCTTGAAGTAGATATAGTCACTGGTATAGCCATAGACTTGTAGATTGTTGTCTAGCTGCTATCTTAAAATATACAAGTTCTTGTGATAGACAATATTTTGTTATTACATTTGCAGGGGAAAACAAATAGGATGGAGATTTAAATAGTCGATTTAGGAGGAGAGAACTAAAATTTTTATCAGTCCTTAAATATCTTTGAGTATTTATATTTATAATTATAGAAGTTTTATTGCTAAAAATTTTCCATAATGTACTTGCTCATCTTCCTTAATGGTGTTAGTAGAGTAACACTAAGCTTTGTGAGATCCAGAATGTGTGATTGGCACATGGGATCTGAGCTGGCCTCTGCATAGGGTACCTCTAGAAGGAGGCATCTCAGAGCTTGCTTAGTGTAGAACAAGCAGTGATGGCTGAAAATAAATTCATTGAAAAGTAACACTGAGATTAATGAAAGTTCTGGATTAGTAGAGTCATCTCTGTGTTATCAGTGGTAATGAGATGCTAGACCAAGACAAGTGGAATTCATTGCCTACTGAATTAGCTCTGATTTACCCTGTCATAACAGACTCGTGCAGACTACGAGTAACACTGATTCCAACTTTCAGTACTTTCTTTTGTTTTTACTTTTTTGAAACAGGGTTTGTGTAACTCACTCAGGCTGTCATTAAACTCTTGTGTAGTTAATGGCCCCGACCTTCTGATTCTCTTGCACCCACCTCCCAAGTGCAGAGATTACAAATGTGCACCACTATGACTTGCTGTCAATACTATTCTGGCTTTTCTGGTAAAAGGCCATTTACTAAAGTTGTTTTAAATAGCAGAATCTAAGAATGTGTACTTGGCAACTTCCTCCTGACCCCACTTTCTAATGGAGGTGCTAATGAGAAATGAAACCAAAGACATTTTTGCCTATCGTTGAGTATCCTACCTCATCTCTTTTGAGTATTGGTGTTTCACCAGCTAATAAAGTAACATAATTATACAAATTCATATCTCAAGCATAGAAATTAAAGTTTTAAAAGCAAGAGACTTAAGATTTTACTTAATTTTACTTTATGAGTCTTCTGTCTGCAATTATGTAGTACACCATGTAACACCTAGTGTCTGCAGAAACCAGAAGTGTCTGATCCTTCAAACTGGAGTTACAGACAGTTGTGAGCCACCATGTGGATGCTAGGAAATAAACTTGGATCCTCTGCAAGAACAGTAAGTGGTCTTAACCACTGAGCTGTCTTTTAACCCCACCTTAGGTATTTTTGTTGGACTTATTTTTGTTTTTGTTTTGGTGCTGATGAGTGATATCAGGCCTCATGTATATTAAGCATATGTTCCTTCTGTATTTATATATGCTCTCTACTTTAAAGTAGAATATTGAGGTTTTTGGTTTTTGTTTGTTTGTTTCTTGTGTGGCCTAGAGCTCACACCTTGAAACCTTTTCTTTCTTTTCTTCCCCCTGCTCCCTGTCACCCTGGCACTGATGACTGCTTACATTAGCTCTCTCTCCTTGAGTGCCAGTTGTACATTTCCAGTCAGCCGTTTTAGTGTTCATCATTTGAAAGTCAGTCTGTCTAAAATAAGTCTGGCTTTAAGTTTGGACTTCTATTTCTTTTAGTACTTTTCCTATTACCGACTTACCTCAGGGGTGTGTGTGTGTGTGTGTGTGTGTGTGTGTGTGTGTGTATGGGCTGAGGAGATGTCTCAGTGGGTAACAGTGTTTGCCCAAGATAGAATTCCCAGCACCCACATAAAAACCCAGGCATTATCGCATACGCTTGTAACCCCAGTACAGTAGAAGAGGTTTGCTGGCCACCAACCTAACTCCAGGTTGAGTGAGAAACCCTGACTCAGAGGATTAAGATAGAGAGTGATGAGAGCTGAATATCTGAGTCCTTCTCTGGCCTTTGCAGACCTGCATGGGCACTATAGAACCCGTGCATACATATGTACACACACCACAAACGTACAAATAAATGTAGTATCAAACATGTGCACTCGCACACACATATTCCGACTTCCATCTTATGAGTTTCTTGATCTTAGAAATTCTGCTTTGGATCATATATGTCTTCTACTATATTTGGAAATACACTGCTAGATATTTAAGGACGCTGTTCAAATAAAAATAAACTTTATTCTTTTTTTGATCTCTGTAAATTTTTTAATTTTGTAATAAGCCTTATTTACTTCAAAAAATATTTCATTGTGGCTGTGAAATGTTGAAGCATGCACAACTGAGTCAGACTTTAAGATTGTAAGATTAGGAGAACATTGATACAACTTTTGTTAATGATAATGACTGTATAAAAATTATATTGAATGTACTTGTTTACCCTTAAAATTTGCTAAACCAGGCATACTTTTGAAATGTTTAATTTAAATAACAAATAGTAGATATTATCATTACATCCTTGATTTTTAAAACTATTTTATAAATCTTGTAAAAAAATACCCAAACCTTTTAAATCTTTAAAGAAGAATTTTAAGGGACTGGAGAGATGGCTCAGCAGTTAAGAGGACCTGGGTTCAATTCCTAGCACCCACATGATAGCTCACAACTGTCTGTAATTCCAGTTCCAGGGCATCTGACATTCTTACACAGATGCACCAATGCAAATAAATAAATCATTTAAAAAATAAAAGAAGGATTTTAAGTACAACTTTAAGGTGTGGATCACAATAAACTTTATTCTTATGCATGAAATTAAAAAATAGGACAGAATGCACCCAGTATCTACTGGCAGGAAGGGTTGGGAAAATAGTATTTATCAAATCGACCCACTTTTATTTGACTTTGTACATAGTAATGTCACTTAAAAAGGAAGCTCCTGGATATTTGTATTTCATTAGTTAAGAGTTTTTACTTCTTATATTTTTGGTTGTGAGCCTAACCTTTAATGGCTGACCCATCTTTCCAGCTAGGCCCTGCCCCAAATGATGTGACAGACTTTGATGATTCCCCATGGGAGGCCTCTCCCTCTCTGAAGAGTGGATGGGGGTTGGAATGAGGAGATGGTGGGGGGAGTAGGAGGACAAGAGGGAGAGGGAACTGGGGTTGGTGTTTTAAATAAGATTGTTTTTAACTTCAGTTTTAAAAATTATCGGATTTCTGTGAATTAGAGACTATTGTGGTCTACAGAGCGAGTTCCAGGCCAGCCAAGGACAGTTAAGACTACACAAAAAATCCTGTCTTGAAATAAATAAATAAATAAACAAACAATTAAATAAATCAAAAGGAATTTAAATTTGGAAAATGAGTTACTAACTCAGAGTAATTGTCCATTTTTTTATCTTAATTTACTTATTTGGCTTTTTTTTCCTCTGAGGAAAAAACTTTTGTAGTTGGATGAATAAGTTTTATTATAAAGTCAATGGAAAAAAATTCAATGGGGTGTCTTGCATTATGGATTTTTGCTGTTGTTTATTTGAGACAGGACCCCAATATGCAATCTAGAATAGCAGTTATTTGCTATGTAGCACAGACTAGTCTTGAACTCTAAATCCCCCCTGCCTACACCTCCCAGGTGCTAGAATTGCAGGCTTGTGTCAGTAGTCTTTTATTTTCACTCCATGTTGTTTTTTAATGAAATAAACAGACCTTTCCATGTTGCTATTATTTCATAGGTTTAATTGTTGAATTACTTCTTCAGTAGTACATCAGACTCAGGCTATTAAGATGAGTTGTTTTAATATCTTAGCATATCTTAAGAGTTTTGTGTGTTTAA